CCATAGCCGACCACCCCCAACCCTTCTTCCTCCTCCATCACCCATCCCCATCCACCATAGCCGACCTCCCCCAACCCTTCTTCCACCTCCATCACCTACACCCATCCTCCATAGCCGACCACCCCCAACCCTTCTTCCACCTCCATCACCTACACCCACCCACCATACCTTCAACCCTTTTCCCTCCTCCATCACCTACACCCATCCGCCATAGCCGGCCACCCCCAACCCTTCTTGCACCTCCATCACCTATCCCCGTCCGCCATAGCCGACCACCCCCAACCCTTCTTCCACCTCCATCACCTACACCCATCCCCCCATAGCCGACCAACCCCAACCCTTTTTCCACCTCCATCAACTACACCCATCAACCATAACCAACCACCCCGACCCTTCTTCGCTATCGTCTCCTTCGCCCGCTCGAAAGTCATGAGGATCGCAAGGGGGTACACGGGATTCTGGGTAGAGGCAGGTTAAGGGGGCAAGTTCGATTAGGATGTGAAACTTCTTGATCTCTCTCTCTCTCTCTCTCCCTCTTTCTCTCTCCCTCCCTCCCCCTCTCTCTCTTTCTCTCTCCCTCCTCCCCCATTCCTTCGAACTCTTTAGCCCTTGCCCCTTCCCTCACTCCTCCTCCGTGGCATATGACTAACCTCTACCCTCGCCTGTTACATTGCCAGGGGACAAACGGAAAAGAACTTGGTTCCACTCAGTGGAAAGCGAGGGCAAGGGAAGGACTGTCGGTCCCTTGTGCCACGAGGAAGGAAAGGGTACCAGGCTGATTGGGAACATCTGTGAGAGCGGAAAAGGGTTGTTGTTTGTGTGACAAGGTCAGTTTGACTCAGTACCATACTGAATTCTGGGGATGTAACATGACGCTGTGTGGCGAATCGGTAGCTGGAAATAAACAGCGACTGACGTGAAGGTGAACACACCATCGGGGACGTGAAGACACCATTGGGGACGTGAAGACACCATTGGGGACGGTTGGCTAGTGAGTGTCATTTGTACACACACAAAACGGTAAGGCACAACACTTGGCCCCCACAAGTGAACCGACTTTAACACATGGACTACTGGTGATCGGAACAAACCCAGCGAACAACTGCCAAACAGTCGGCATCTACGCACTATCGGGGACGTGATGACACCATTGGGGACGGTTGGCTAGTGCGTGTCATTTGTACACACACAAAACCGTAAGGCACAACACTTGGCCCTCACTAGTGAACCGACTTCAACACATAGACCACTCCTGATCAGAACAAGCCGAGCGAACAGCTGACAAACAGTCGGCATCAACGCACCATCGGGGACGTGAAGACACCATTGGGGACGGTTGGCTAGTGGGTGTCATTTGTACACACACAAAACCGTAAGGCACAACACTTGGCCCCCACTAGTGAACCGACTTTAACACATGGACCACTGCTGATCGGAACAAGCCCAGCAAACAA